ACCCTTTGTGTATTAGTGGGCAACTGATTTTTTGGAGTTGATCTTGTACCCTGCCACATTGCTAAAGGTGTTTATCAGCTGTAGGAGTTCTTTGGTAGCGTTTTTGGGGTCGCAAATAGCAAGAGTTTAACTTCTTCCTTTTCAATTTGAATCTCCTTGATCCCCTTATGTTGTCGTATTGCTATTGCTAGAACTTCAAGCACTATATTGAAGCGGTATGGGGAGAGTGGACGACCTTGTCGTGTTCCTGATTTCAATGGAATGTATTTGAATTTCTCTCCATTCAGTTTGATGTTAGCTGTCGGCTTGCTATAAATAGCTTTTATTATATTTAGGTATGATCCTTGTATCCCCAATCACTTCAACACCTTTATCATAAAGGGATGTTTAATTTTGTCAAATGCTTTTTCAGCATCTAATGAAATGATCATATGGTTTTTTCTTTCAGTTTATTTTTATGATTGATTAAATTGATAGATTTGCGTATGTTGAACCAGCGGTGCATCTCTGGGATGAAGCCTACTTGATCATAATGGATAATTTTTCTAATATGTTCTTGGTTTCGGTTTGCCAGGATTTTGTTGAGAATTTTTGCGTCAATGTTCATGAGTGAGATTGGCATGTAATTCTCTTTCTTGTTTGTGTCTTTATGTGGTTTTGGTATCAGGGTAAACGTAGCTTCATAAAAAGAATTTGGCAATGACTCTTCTGTTTCTATATTGTGAAATACCTTAAGGAGTATAGGTATCAGCTCTTCTTGGAAGTTCTGGTAGAATTCTGCATTGAAACCATCTGGCCCTGGGCTTTTTTTGGTCACGAGGTTTTTGATAACACCTTCTAATTCCTTGCAACTAACAGGGTTATTTAGATTGTCCACCTGGTCTTGATTTAACTATGGTAAATGGTATTTATCTAAAAACCAATCTATTTCTTGTACATTTTCCAAGTTTGTGGCATACAAACTTTCGTAGTAAGATCTAATGATTCTCTGAATTTCCTCTGTGTCTGTGGTTATGTCCCCCTTTTCATTTCTGATTTTATTAATTTGAGTGTTCTCTCTCTGCTGTTTGATTAGTTTGGCTAGGGGTTTGTCAATCTTGTTGATTTTCTCCAAGAACCAACTTTTTGTTTCGTTGATTCTTTGGATTGTTTATTGTGTTTCGATTTTCTTGATTTCAGCTCTCTGTTTAATTACTTCCAGTCTTCTACTCCTCCTGGGTGAGTCTGCTTCTGTTTTTTCTAGAGTTTTCAGATGTGCTGTTAAGTCTCTAATGTGTGCTTTTTCCATTTTTTTTTATGTGTGCATTTAGTGCTATGAACTTTCCTTTTAGCACTGCTTTCATAGTGTCCCATAGGTTTGGGTATGTTGTGTCTTTATTTTCATTGAATTCAAGGAAGACTTTAATTTCTCTCTTTATTTCTTCCTTGACCGAGTGGTGCGGGAGAACTGTCTGTATTCTGTCAATCATATTTTAATAAAACACTGATTGGCCAGGCAGGCAGTGTAGGCGGGAAAGCCAGACCGGAAATAGAGGTGGAGCAGAGACTGGGAGTATTCTGGCAAGCTGAAAGCTCCCTCCGCAGTTCTGCCCAGACCACCGGAGAGGAAAGATGTAAGCTGCCCCGCTGGAAAAGGTACTGAGCCATGTGCTAAAGTAGATAAGGATAATGGGGTAACATAAGTTATAAGAGCTAATAAATAGCCTGACCTAATGGACCAATCAGTTTATAATCTTATGGAGTCCCGTCTGTGATTTTCTTTGGGGTTTGCTGGCTGTAGGGTACCAGGCGAGACAGAAACCCCAACAAACCGGCCCCTCATGTTACAGAATGGCACCCACGAGGATAACTGCATCCACAGAAAGCCTGAGGAAGCTTGGGAAAGACTAGAGTAAAGCATTTCGGTTTTCATCCATAGCAGGAAAAAAGCTGTGCTGTTTTAAAATGCCAGCTTTCTGGGCCGTCCTGCCAGGGAAAACTCTGACTCTTTCAAGCAGGCAGTCCAGACTATGGAAACACTGTTGCAGCTTGCTTCCTTGCAAGGACCTTGAAAAGCCTTAAGAGCTTTTGACTGTTGTTTTCTCCATATTCCTTAGCAAATTAAAGACCCATGTGGTCAGAAAAACAGAGATATACATTAAAGAGAGATTCAAAGAGTAAGAAAACCTCTAAATGGTTTACATTGTGTTAAAAATATATACAGGATAAAGGTTAAAGTTCTCAGAGTAAAAAAAGAAAAAAGAAAATAAAGAAAACAACGAGTAGCCTGGGAGGCAGAGACAGATGGATCACTGGGAGTTCAAAAATAGCCAGGTCTACAGAGTTATTCCAGGACAAAGATATGCAGAGAACCTGTCTCCAAAAGCTGAAAGTAAAAGTAAAAATAAAGAAATAGAGGTTAAAATAAAGCCACGTAAAGATGGAAAATACACAGAGAATCTTGATACTGTATGCTATTATGCTCTCTTTGATTTGTTTGAATGCTGAGGAAGGAGAAACAGCTGCTAAAAGATACTTGCTTATAAATGCTGCAGAATTAACCCAAAATAGGTATTTTGAAAATATCTTGGCTTCAGAATTGAAGTCAAAATGTATGTTACTTTGGAGAAGCGTTTTTGCTTTTGTTTTCACAGAAAATGAGAGGCTCCGAATTTATTCAGAGTTAAGAAAATTCATCTTTGACCAAGGGAGACCACCTGAGCAATCTCCAGTAGGAACAGATGGCCCAGATGTCTGAGTTCTTCATCCAGAACAGGTTCAAGACCGCTGCCTGAGATGATCAAGACTCACAGGATACTTCAGTCAGGACTTGATCATAACTCTAAATTTTCTTTAGGTCCCCATAAGATTATCAGTGCCCCCAACCAGCAGGAAGTAGCCTTGAATACTATGCCCACACTCCCAAAAACTGGACTATGGATATTTTCCTTTGTTTGTTTGTTTGTTTTCAAATAAAAGAGAGGGAAATGGTGTGGGAGAATTGTCTGTATTCTGTCAATCATGTTTTAAATAAAACGCTGATTGGCCAGGCAGGAGGTGTAGGCAGGAAAACCAAACAGGAAGTAGAAATGATGCAAGGAGAGCAGGAGAATTCTGGGGAGGAGGAATTTGATTCCTCCCACTCCTGCCAAGATCACCAAAGCCACAGGATATGAACTGCCCCACTGAAAAAGGTATTGAGCCACATGGCTAAAATAGATCAGAAAAATGGGTTAATCAAGATGTAAGCATTAGCTAAAAAGAGGCTAGACCTAACGGGCCAATCAGCTTTATAACTTATAGAGATCTGTGTGGTTACTTTTCTCTGGGGCCTCCCAGCTGTGGAGTATCAAGCGGGGACAGAAAACCCAAATAAGAAACAGGCCCCTTCATGTTATGGAAAAGGTACTGAGCCATGTGCTAACGTAGATAAGGATAATGGGGTAACATAAGTTATAAGAGCAAATAAGCAGCCAGACCTAATGGGCCAATCACTTTATAACCTTATGGAGTCCTGTATGTGATTTTCCTTGGGAGTTCCAGCTGTGGGGTACCGGGCGGGACAGAAACCCCAACAAGTCAGCTGGGCCTCATGCTACAACCCTGGGATGGTTCAGTACTTGACTGATCAGATTCCATGAGTTTGTAGGTTTTCTGGGGTTAGAATTATTGTTGAATTCTAACTTTATTCCATGGTTATCTGATAGTACACAGGTGATTACTGCAATTTCCAGTCTATTTGGTGTTCTGTATGCTTCTTGTACCTTCATAGGAATATCCTTCTTTAGATTGGGATAGTTTTCTTTAATAATTTTGGTGAATATATTTTCTGGGCCTTTGAGCTGTAAATCTTCTCCTTCTTCTACACCTATTATTCTTAGGTTTGTCTTTTTCATGGTGTCCCAGATTTCCTGGATGTTTTGTTTTAAAACTTTGTTGGATTTGCTTTGTCCTTAAATCAGTGAGTTTATTTCCTCTACAGTATCTTCAGTGTCTGAGATTCTTTCTTCTATATCTTGTATTCTGTTGGGAATATTTGTCTCTGCAGTTCCTATTTGTTTACCCAGATTTTCCATACCCAGCCTTCCCTCAGTTTGTGTTTGCTTCATTACATCCATTTCATTTTTCAAGTCTTGAACTGTTTCCCTTACCTGTTTGATTGCTTTCTCTTGGATTTCTTGTTTTTCTTGGGTATCTTTAAGAGATTTATTCATTTCATCTACCTTTTTGTTTGTTATCTCCATTTCTTTTTGGCAGATTTTCACCTCCTGTTTAAGTTCCTCTATTATTTTCATATAGTTCTGCATAGAGTCGATTTCTTCTATTTCTTCTGGAGTAGGGTGTTCAATTCTTCTAGTTTCGTGATCCCTGGATTCTGGTGATGTCATGTTGCCTTTCAGGTTGTTTGAGGAATTCTTGCATTGACGCCTGACCATCTCTTCCTTCAAATGGAGCCAGGACAGTCTTGGTGTCTTGGTTCAGTTTTTGCTGTGACTGACTTTCTGGGTGGATCTCTTCAGTGCAGGAGCAGGAAATGTTCCTGTTCCTCTAGATGGTACTCCTCAGTACCCTCTGGATGGAACTCCTCAGCACAGAGAGAGGGTTAGCTGGTATTCCAAGGACACCACAGACAAAAGGGCAAACGTGGGGACAGGGCAGGGTCAAGTGGAACACAGAAGACCCTGCAGCAGAAGCTGAGAGGAGGGTGCTGTGATCTCTTCTGGGACAGTCCGTCCCGGATAGCACACACTCACCTCTCTGAATGGAACTCCTCAGCACTGAAATAGGGATAGTTGGTATTCCAAGAACACAGGAAACAAAAAGGAGACCTTGGGAGCAGGGTAGGATCCAGTAGAACACAGAAGACCCTGCACAGAAGCTGGGGGTAGGGAGCTGTGCTCCCATGAGTACTATATTTATGTTATTTTACACTCAATTCTGTTTCTTTCTTTAAAAATATATGTATACTAAAATTGTCAGAATAAAACCTACTATATAATAAATTTTGCACTGCCCCTCAGGTAAATCAAATGAGACCCTCGAGGAGAGTGAGAATGTGATGCAACAAGAAACACAGGATTTGGAGACAAGACAGGATTCTGATCAAGTCTTGTTTATCCAAGGAAATAATCCAGGTAAATATAGGGTAAGGGAAAGAAGGAAATTTTCCTTGTGTACATGGGTCACTAAGCAACATATCGGCAACCTAACTATGATCTAATCATCAGGCTTAAAGTCCCTAACTCAACATAAAGAACACTTACAATGTTCAGAACATGGGAACAATGGATCAATAACTCTTTGCAGAGATAGTATTTGACAGATCAGGACAGAATGAGAAGTCAAGCATAACAGAGTGGGAGAAATTGATTCAAGGAGCAGTAAGTCTCCCACAGGTTCCCCTTATTATTTTTATTAATTTTAGACAGCTGAAAGTCACTTGAGGGAACTGTCCCTGTCTTAGGTTGGTGAAACATCCTGTAGCCCCATCCTTAGTCATCATAGGAAGACAGAACTGCTTTTGCTTTGTTCCTGTCTTAGTTAACATGCTTAACTTAGGTATACATCCTCCCATTACCTGTTTCTCGCTAACCAGCCCATCACACCAAGATTAAAGGCAATTTTCTGTGAACCTCATGTGTGCATGATCTTACCAGTTAAACTTTGTCATTCTTTTTTCTGTTGGACACGTCCAATTATGATAATGGACTTGTACAGTTTTCATTTTCTTTTATACTTTAAATGTTAGTTGACTCATACACCTGTTGTTCTATAAATGCCATCAACTAAAACGCAAAGATCCTAGTGAAACAAAATTAATAAGCCAAGCAAGGATGCTTACAAGGGAAGAAGGTAGGGGACACATTGCTAATGCTTCCATACCATTCAAAAGGAGGGCAAAATAAAGCTTCTAGTAGGATTTTGGTTATTGGCCAAATTAAAAAAAATACACTGAATGAAAGAAAAAGTATACAGAAGCAAAGCTCTTCCATCATTATGCCTGGCAATGGGTGATGAACTGAACTCAAAGGCCACTTCCTTATAGGGTTCAGATTCTGACAGAACGTTTGAGAAATGTGCAGAGAAAGTATGATTACATCTATGCTTGGTCTGTCAAGCAACTGTTTCCCAGCATCGTCTCATCTGTCTCAGGAAGACCCTGCAATCTAGGCCAATTGTGTCCCAAGAACTTTCTCCTTTCCCATTTTTATTTGAAGCCAAAAGATGTTTTAACCATTAAATATGTAAATTTTTGCATATTTACTGGTTGAATAAAATATTTATACATAATCAAGAATAAAAGAAACAAAAATGATTACAATAAGCATACTTCTGGAGATATGAGAATACTTTCTGAAAATCTTTAAGAATATTTAAATTTGTCAGCAAAAATTTGTGCAATGGTGTAAGCATCCAAATCAGGAAATGATTTAGCAAAAGTAAATCCTATATTATCATCTAAGTGATCAACAGGAGATTGAGTAGAGATATTATCCAAAACATAATCTTGAATAACATTTCAATTATGTAAAGAATCATTATAAGCCAAATCAGTAAAGCAAAAAATGTTTGATTTCCAATCACGATGCATGGTAATTTGTTCTTGTAAAGGTAGATATATTTTCCCAACTATTCCATAGTTTTCTTAAGTACATCAATCTCTGTCTGAAGCCGAGTACCTACTTGGGCTTGCTCTATCCATAGTTCATGAGAGTCTTTATGCCATTGCTCTACAAAGTGTTTTGTCTGCAAGGACATATGTAAAGCAATACCAGCCACAGAAGCAGAAGCAACAACAACAATAAGATTAAGAATTACAGGTATTATGATACCGAACATGTGCTTTGTTCTTTTCAATATCTTTTTGAAGAATTCTTCAATATTATCTAAAGGATTTTGAGCCTAAGAATGACCCAAGTAAAAGGCAGTCAAATATGTGTATGCTGTTGTAATATCATAATTGATTGATTATGAAGATTAAACTTATAAGAGGTATTAATGCGTAAATACAATTGACAATCATAACAATTAATTCCATTCATAAAATTAATTCTTCCAACAAAAAGTATATGTGGTATTGGCACACAAGCAGTAATATTAGTACTTCCAAATAATGGAAATTTGTTAGTAGAAGCAGATACTACTGTTGTGAAAAATGAGCCATTTAAAAGCTGAACATGTTTTAAGGCAGCCAAAGTCTTCTGAATTGCAGTAGGTGCTGTGAGTAAGGCAATGCGATTTTCACTGATTCCTCCATCTCCCCATGCCAGAAAATATCTTCCAGTCATCCTTTCATTCTCGGCTCAATTCAACCTGGTATCATTAAACAAATTCCAAGTGATAATATTCCATTCAGATCAAGTGTTAATAAATTGACCATATGCGCTGCAATGAATCTATTTATTTTGAATTACTTTGACAAATTTGTCCAAACAAGTCTCCCAAATTAATGGCTAATATTTTAAACCATAATATGTAATATCTGGACATACAGGATATGAAAATTTATAATATTCAATAATATTGTCCCAGGTCTGAATAATGGATCATGCTGAAAGCCTTTGAAGACAAGCATAAGATCTGCCTATTTAAATACCAGGTTGTAACCAATGATGTAATCCCACTGATAAGCAAGGACAATTTCCAAAGCTTATTGGCTTTCTATCAGCCTTATAAGCAAAATTATAAGAGGTCCCATCTAAATTATTCAGATAAGTCAAGTCATTTCAAGGAGGAGAGAGGATACTCAGAGTGCTATACACTGACACATCAGTATCTCAGCAAAAGAAAGGCTTTAACCCAGGTGTACAAGGGATATAAACACAATAACTTACAGCTGATCCCTGAACAGAAGAGACAATTAAGAGAGCACATACGGCCAGAGAATAATATTTGGCTGTAACCTGTCTTTTGGACTGCTGGACAATACTCTGACCATAGGGCACAAGAGATTTCACTTGACCCCACGTTTATGATCGTGGTGAAGACCAATGTTGTCAAGGTAGCTTCCATGAATATAATTGTACTATGGCCAGTATTGGAATGTCTTCTTCAGGAGCTATAATTGTCACTCATCCTGCAGAGAGACATTACGATACCCTCTCCCTTTCTCCATTAGCAATGCAGGCTGCCATTCAGTATCCTTGGCAATTTTTCTGCTACTTCAACATTTGAAGTATAAGCAATATATTTCTCTACCCTAGTTAGAATATCCTTCTGGGGCAGATTTGAGAAATTTAACCTGAATTAATGTAAAGTTGCCCTAATTCTCCAAAATATCTCACATTAATTCCAAACAAATATGTTCCTTTTCAAAATTTCAATTTGCTGTTTTAAAATGTAATGGACTTTAAAGTATGATTTGCTTCTCAAAATGGAATTTGATATTGAACATATGGATGATTAGCATTAGTATGTAAATATCCACGTTCCTCTAGAACAAAGGAAAAAGCTATCAATGATCCCTTAGAGTATTTCCAAATTTTCAAATGTCAGATCTCTAGACATTTTGCATGTGATCAGAGGTTATAACCTATTCAGCTGATAAACACCTTTAGTAACGTGGCAGGATACAAGATCAACTCCAAAAAATCAGTGGCCCTCCTATACACAAAGGATAAAGAAACAGAGAGGGAAATCAGAGAAACATCACCTTTCATGATAGCCACAAATAGCATTAAATATCTTGGGGTTACTCTGACCAAGGAACAATGAAGCCTAACCACTTGGAGAGTTAGTATTTGACAGATCAGAGCAGCAAGAGAAGCCAAGCACAACAGGATGCGTGAAGCTGAATCAAGGAACAGAAAGTCTCCCACAAAAATTATTATGTTGTATTGTGTAGATATGATTGTACACATCGGAATTTCATACTGAATACTCACTGTTGTGATTTTATATAACCAATTTAACACTGACCTTTCTAATAAAAAAGCCTATCAATATTACTATACAGTAGAAAATAATCCTTTCTTCTTAGCCTCCAATATTTGTCAGTGGCTTTTATGCTAATTGTGTTAATTTTAGAGAGTTTTCCATCTCTTTTGACATTTCAATAAGGGATGTCATTGTCCTCAGCATTTTTCATTGTTTCTTTGCTTTCATTTAATTTTAATAGGCATTTAAGATTTCTACAATTTTGCTCTTTAATACCTTAACTTTATCTATTTTTTCCTGCAAATTATAGACAATGTTTCTTGTGGGTCTATGGATAAATATTTAGAACAGAGTTAGAAATTATATTCCTCAGGAAGTTCGAGAGGAAGTTTATGATTTTGTTACCACTATCTCCCTAACAATATGGAGTATGCTTGATTGTTGCATTTGGCAAATTTTTCTTTTTATCAACTATGTAACTGCATTTTTTTAAAATATAAGAGTAAAATTTAGACTTGTCTATGCATATGAAATCAGTAATACCCTCAAAGAGCTAAATTTTGACAGATTATGACATTTGAAGTAGCTGGAAAATCACACATTTTACCTTGATATGTTGTACTCTTCTTAGTTGTGGTTTTAACATTAACATTTTAGGATGAGTATAAGTAGAAATCATAGCTACAATCTTGGTTTAAGAGACTGATTCCCAGATCCTAATAGTGTAAACAGTTGTTTAAATACTTTATTTTTAAGATAAACAGTAAAACTTAATTTTATTCCGTTCTTTGTAGTTTCTATGGGAGACTTCTGAATTTACTCTTATTTGATGTATGTGTGGATTATATAAAAACATCAAAGACACTGTAGTGATCTTACTGTTTTAGTTCTGGAGGCAGACAACAGTTGTAGAATCTGTAAAAATTCAAAAAATAGACACAGAAAAGAAAGTGGTAGAGAATTGAGTTTCTTATGAAAACATCTTTGTCTACTCTAAATAATAACCCTTATGTTATTTTCTGCTTTTAGATTCAAAAAATTAACAGACTTATAGAGGGCTCTGTCCATGAACTGGTAATTTGGAATATTAACAACTGGATCTATTTATAATATATATTTGTGAAAAAAAAATCTGGTATACTAACGTTATCATATTGTCCCAGGACATGGACCATATACAGTGAATGAAGGAATCTCTTAGATTTACTTACCTATTTTCTTACCACATGTGGCACATTTGAAAGCTGTGGCCTGCTAT